GAACAAGCGAGATGTAGAGAGTCTTCGTTATATTGGGGTCGTCAAATTCCTTTGACCACCTCTTTATAAACCCAATCACACCAATGGCTTTATTTACCATGGTAGAAATGTGTTCAGAAAACTTCAACTTTGGGTCTAATTTAACACCAAGATCATCAACCAAGGTAATTCTCTCAAGAGAACCACCGCAGAGGCTATACGGAGCCAAAACGGGGCTGAAGCGATGAAATGTCATTACTTTGCATTTCGAGGCATTTAGGTGTAACATATTTGCACAACACCATGACTGAAAGTTATTGAGATCGGATTGCAAGCGAGAGTGAAATGAAATGTCCTTATACTGGACACAAAGTTTAACATCATCCGCATACATGAGTACTCAAAAGTTTGTTAATACTGAAGGCAGATCATTAATAAAGAGTGTGAATAGTAGGGGGCCTAGATGGCTGCCCTGTGGTACTCCAGAAGTAACCTTAACAGGTGAAGAGAAGGAGTTTTTGAAGAGGACTCTTTGAGACCTGGAAACGAAGGTAGCTAGAAATCCATCTCAAAAGATGAGGCGGAAACCCTAAAAGGTCAAGTTTTTGTGCTAAAAGGGAATGGTTTACAGAATCGAATGCTTTACTAAAATCAGTGTAAATGACATCCGTCTGCAAGTTACCTTGAAAGCCTTTAATGATAAAAGAGGTAAACTCTAATAAATTTGTGGTTGTTGATCGTCGCCTTATAAATCCGAGCTGGGACGGAGATATAAGTGATTTGCAGAGATGTTGCAAGTGCGGAATTCAAATTTTTTCAAACATTTTAGGAATAGCGGATAGCTTAGAAATACCTCTATAATTATTTGCATCAGACTTGCTACCTTTCTTATGGAGCGGAATAATAAAAGATTCCTTCCAAATGGTGGGGAAGCATGAAGAGTTAATGGATAGGCTGAATAGTTTAAGCAAGGGTCCACACAGAGCGTCGGCACAGTACCTAAGTACACGTCGGGACCTGGTGAAAACACCGGCTTAACTAGTCGAAGATCATGAAGCAGTGAGCTTTCATTTAACAAGGGGCTGAAGATGCCATTCGACCTTGGTAAACTGTCTGGATACGGCTGACCAGAGTAGCTTTCATGAGAATAGGTTGTTTGGAAAAATTTGGCAAAAAGATCGGCAATTGCCTGATCATTGTTTGCTGACATATTGAGAAAAGATAACGAGGATGGATGTACGGACGTTCTACGCTTACTATTTACGAAGCTGTAAAACTGTTTAGGGTCCTGTGAAAATCGTATCCTGCATCGAGATAGGTAGTTTTTATAGGTTACGCTTACTATTTACGAAGCTGTAAAACTGTTAGGGTCCTGTGAAAATCGTATCCTGCATCGAGATAGGTAGTTTCTATAGCATTGAGCGTTAAAAAAGGAGAAATTTGACCGAGCTATTACATAGTGAGAAAGAGAAAGGGGAGAACCAACTTCTCGAAATTTTTTATAAAGTCTTGATTTTAAATTTTGTAGACTAGATAATTCTTTGGTAAACCAAGGAGGCTTTCCAGATCTAACCGGACAAGAAAGTGGGACACATGAATCAAAAAATGTGTCAAGTACATTGTAAAAAATGTTTGTGCCTTTCATAACGTCAGTGCACAAATACAGAGCGGACCAATCAAAATCACTAATGAGGTTATTAAGCTTCGTAAACTCGGCTTTACGAAAGCAGCGGACACGTTCAGATAGCCTACCCATTCGATCCAATACAGTAGGGCCAATATCGACTGACTTCGAATGTAGGATGGTAGGAGTTTTCAGGTATAGTGAGCGGAAGGGCTCGGGTTAACAACGCTATGGTCGGATCCGAGACAAAGCACAGATCAAGCATTCGACCCAAGGAATTTTTCACATGGTTGACTTGAGACAGGGATAGGTCAACAAGCCGTCGATAAAGTCATGTCGTGACATTGGCACAAGGTTATTAGACTCGTTTACCGGAAAACCAAACAGTACCTGGCAAATTAAAATCACCAAGAACTATCATATGGTCTTTATCTGATAGCGAGGAAGAAACAGTTTTTAAAGCGGACAGGTGATGCTCGTTTATTAGGATATCCGAGGAAGGTGGAATATACGAGCAAGTAATGAAAATGGAAAAGCCTGGGAGAATCAGTTTTACGCACAGGAATTCCAGGTCTTGTTGAACCTGGACCATGAAACCTCCACGTCGAGACGAACGGTCATTTCTAAAAATTGTGTACCGACCTGCCAAAACTTCGGAACTAAGGATGTCCGGCTTTAACCAGGTCTCGGTGAACACAGTAACGTGGGACGAGAATGCGAGACTTCTAGAGGAAAAGAGTGCTGATCTTACTACGCAAGCCTCTAGCATTCTGGTAGGTAACTACAAGAGAGGAAGTTAGTTTTTTGGATGGGTGGAAGTAGAGGTGGAAGATGAGGATGGAGGTGGAGATGAAGCACTGGTCTGAATGCTAGGAAGAGTAATGGGTGGCCTATTCTTTTTCTTAGCCTTTCTTAGCCTTAGCCTCTTTAACCACCAAATTCTCTGGCCAAAACTTGGCGGAACAAATGGTTTCAAATTGAGTTGGGAGAGCGCTTATCTTGAAGGAAGATATCTCCCTGGCGTAAGAAAAGTTAAATTTTTCCACCTTTAAGCCGACGGCTTTTATTTTGCTTTGTATAAAAGCGGTCATATCATTGGATGTGAGGTCAGGGGCTAGCCGCGAGACAAAAACTTGTCGCTTTGGTGGGACTCCACCCAGTGGTTTTGGCACCACAGGCCTAGTACCTGTGATGGCAGTATCCGGTGGTCCTGGACATCTATTAGCTGGTGGGAGCAAAACTGAGGGGATAGTTAAGGGGTTGGGTGCGGACTCGATGGACACGGACTCTACAGACATTTCTAACTGTATACTCTCCGAAGTGACGCATTCGGCTCCCGAATCTGCATCACCAGCAGCGATCGTTGCCCGTTGGAGTAGCAAACGTAATCAACTGCTGCACTAAGGTGGTGGCCGGAGTAAGTTTTTCAGATGCCGGCAGCTGTAAACTGCTGAACTGAGTTTTCATGGCCAAGAGCCGATCATATTGCTGTTTAAAGCCTACGATCAGCTCTTTGAAGCCACTCCGCGTCTGCCTCATGAACGAACGCATGTCGTTTTCCACAGCACGGCATTCCTCACAACTATAATTTAGGCCGTTGTTTTGGGAAAATGGCGTCTCCATACGGCCCGAGATCCCTACACATTTTGCGTGCACTACGCTTTCGCAAAGCCAGCAGGGGATATTGAGCTGGTCATGGGTGATCTGCTTCTTGCAGGTTTTTTTTGGCACAGACGACAGAAAATTCCATATTTATGTCTTTTATTTTTTTTTACTTTGGGAAAAAAAAGTTCAAAAACAAATAGCAATCAGACCACTGTGCAGAGCAAATTCTTAGAGCAATGCTTAAAGCGAAATCGGTAAAAGATGAGAGAGGAGAGTGGTTGCAGCAACAGCTTATAAGTGAGAGCGTTACTGCACAAAAAGTTACAAAGAGCGAGAGCGAAAGAACAGTTATTGAGAGTTAGGTGATAGAGAGAGTGATAGACGGCAATAACTACGACAAAGAGCGGCTAAATGTAATGAGAGGGCGTATTTACGAAAAGCAACAACACAAACACACGACTAACCGACGCACAAAATTTATTAAATAAGTTGTGTTTTGACACAATTATCAGGCATGCACCCGCGGTAAAAGTATGATTTCAATGTAAGTTAGTTAGAGAGTTAAATTACACTACTCGACAAAATCGAACTTTTTTTTTCCTCAAGGATCCAAACCGACTTTTTCTGATAGATATGGGGATTTAAAATTTTTTAAAGAATTATGGTTTTTTTTCTATGGCAGAACTTTTTTTTGAAGAATTTTTGAAAACTGGTATTTTTTTTTAAGCTTTTTTCAGAGGTAGCGCTTGTTTTTTTCACATAGCTCTAGTATCTTACGTCTGGTTGTAAAGAGCTTTGGAGCTAAAATTCGTTAACCAAACCTAAATATAAAAAAATGAACAAAAATACCTTGGAAGGTTACGCCCAACTGCCAATTGGAAACAAAGCAAACGAACAAGGGTTGTACATTTGGTACCTGATCGCGTTCCTTTGTTCCCAATGGGCAGTTGGGCTCGCAACCTTCCAAAAGGTATTTTTTGTTCATTTTTTTCATATTTTAGGTTTGGTTAACGAATTTTAGCTTCAAAGTCTCTCCATAGATTTTAATGAGCGATACCTTAAATTAACGCACCTATACACAAAAAAATAGAGGACACAAGATATAATTTTTTTTCGACTTTTCCTGAATTTTTAAAGTCAAAATTTCGTAACAAATACCGCACAAAAATCATAATTTTTGCATTTCAATGCTTTATATTTCCCAGACGGTAAGCTGAAATCACAAAGTATTTGGGCTTAACTTCTAGCTGTTTTAATTACCTTTTCAAAATAATAAAGTTCTTTACAACCAGACGTAAGATACTAGAGCTATGTGAAAAAAACAAGCGCTACCCCTGAAAAAAGCTTAAAAAAAAATACCAGTTTTCAAAAATTCTTCAAAAAAAAGTTCTGCCATAGAAAAAAAAAAATATATATCAAACCATTTCTAAGCCCCAAATCTTTAAGAAAAAGTTCGTTTTGTTCCTTGACGAAAAATTGTGTTGACTAGTGTTATAGATAAAAAAACACCGGCTGTTTAAGTTATACAAAAGGAAAATGCGGAGCGCAAAACAAAATAAGGTTTTGCTAACTCTGCATCGCAGAAGGGGATAGCTGAATGGTAGGTCGATGATTCGAGGCCGAGTGGTTGTGAAATTTCACCAAGAAGTGGGTGACCGAGAATTTCGTGCTGTCTTCGCTGATTGCGAAATAATACAAGAGGTGGTTTGTTTTAAATTGGTGTGTGGACAAGAATGAGTAGAGTTGTTGATCGAGAGTTCTTAATTTTAGTAATTGTTTGCGTTGCTTAAGACTATTTATACCCGTACTCAAAAAGACTATTGCCGTTCCAGACTGCGGCCGTGTTATCGCTGTAGAGACATTTTAGTATATTCAAAATTTTTGTTGATACTCCGGCCAAGCTAAGTTTTAAAAATAAGCTATGTCGGTCGATGGTGTCGAAAGCCGCTTTAAAGTCTATGAAGCAGGTGTACATCTTCTGGTTTCGCCTCTTGTACTCTTTTGCTATAGCCACCAGCACGAAAATGCTGTCCACTGTGCTGTAACCTCTTCTAAACCCAGCTTGGTATTCGCTGAGCACACCATTCTTTTCTACCCAGTCATTAAGACGCGAAAGCACTATTGATGCGAACACCTTCATAGTCGAAGTAAGGAAGGATATCCGCCTATAGTTCGCTGCATCAGCGACGTCAGGTGCGTTTTTTAGGAATTCTGCTGGTATCCGCTCGATTCCGGGGGCTTTACAGTTTTTGCTCTTGCTCACTGCTGCCTTGACTTCCTTGCCTTGGCAAAGCAAAATAGTGCAATATCGCTTGGCTGTCCTGTAGGAGTAGATTTTTAAAATGCTGCGCTAAGCTGTCCGGTTCAACTCTGATTTGCATGATCCCATTGATCCCATTCAACCTCCTGACAAACTCCCAGAAACCCTTGCTATCTTTAATATTATTTACTTCAAGCTCTATTCCTAAATTGGTTGTCCTTTTTTTTCTGCACATTGTTTTGAAGGCTGTGTTGGCTTCTTGGTACTTCCGCTTCTCATCCGCATTGCCTGAGTGAAGTGACCGTTTCAATGTGATCATTGATCTTTGTCTCTCCCGATGGCATTCAGAGTCGAACCATGGCTGTTTTCTTGTATAGTGGGCGGGTTTTTGCATGCAGGCTGCCGCTATCTTTATCCAGTTTGTTAGGGTCTCAATATTAGGTGCTTCGGGTTGGCAGTCTTGCCGTTCGCTTTTCTGTTTGAGTTGGGCTCTGTACTGCTGGCGGTACCTATCGTTCCATTGCAGTTTCGGGAGCAGTTTGTTGTCGTGTGGATTGGGTTGTGCGTGGTCCGAGAAAGTTTCGGGCACTACTTGCATATCTTCAATGCGATTATGCCACATGCCATTGATAAGACAGTAGTCTATTGTGGACACCGCTTGGCCTCTCATGAAGGTGTACCTTCCGTCCCCGTCGCTTTGCGTTCTGCCGTTAAGGACCGTGAAGCTGTTGTCCTCGCACATCTCTATTACATTCTTGCCATTGGTGTCTACTTTAAGATCCTTTGCTGCCCTAATTAGCATTTCGAATTTTCCTGCGTGGTCTTTACTCACAGGGGTGCACTGATGTGTTCCTATTCTAGCATCCACGTCACCCACGACCATTACACTAGAACTCGTGGACTCTTGGATCATGTCGCGTAGTTGATCATAATAGCCTTGCCAGCCATTGCAGTTGAGGTCGGGTTGATGCGACTAAGTCTGTGTGGATGCCTCTAAGTTGGCCACCACTTGCTCTTCCTCTAGCTGCCGTTCTTACGGCTGGCTCCCATGACAGAATATGATTTGGGAAGTATGGTTCGTACTGCTGCATGTTTTGGTAGAAAAATGTTTCGTATAGGAAAAATATTTGATAAGTATTTATAAATTTAAAAAATTGACTAAAGGTAAGCTTATTTGCTAAACCTGCGATGTTGTATGACAATATATTAATGTGTATGCTGTTTTGAGTATTTGCCGTTCTAGTTTTTTGATTCCCTGGCTTTGGTGAGAAGTCGGGTGTGAGTAATGTCGGTTTCATCCAATGCAGCGCCATAGAGTTCCTTTAGAATCGAGTTAGCTGGCTTTCCTTTGCAAGTGAGCTCGTGGGCGTTGTTAAAGGACACCCATTTGCCCTCTACATAGATCTGGTCATTTTTGACGAAGGCCTTATGGTTCTTGTTTATGGAAACCAGCTCCTTTTTCAACTGCATTAGGGCCAGCTTGTTTTCTTGCTGCTGTTGGCTAAGGTCTCTGTCAATACAGACTGAACTACCCGCTAGCTTTTTTCCATTTTTTAATACCTCATTTATCGCCGAAGCATTTTCCATTTCCACCAGCACTCCCGTATTATAGTTTCTTTGGTAGCGCACTCGGGTTTCTCGTACTGATGCGTTCGGGATCGCCATTTTACCCCGTAGCAATTTATCCACTCCCTCCTTTGTCGCATCTTCCTTCTCTAGGCCTTTGAAAATTAGGTTCCGGGCCTTGCTGCTTTGCTCCAGTCTGCTAAGCTCCTTTCGGTCCTGCTCTCTGTCGCTTTTTAATTGCTGGAAATCGCGCTTTAGAACCTCATTCATCGCTTTAAGAGTTTTGAGTCTAATTGGGACTTTAACGTCCCTATATCCTCCTTTGTTTCCAATTTGTCGAACCGTTGGCCCATTTGGTTGATGGCCTGCATCACGTCTCCCAGCGATATATCGGGTGATAGCGCACTTCCGCTTTTCCTGCTGTCCTGCTCCATTAAGGGGCGTACCTGGGGCATATTATGAAGTGCGGTACTTATTTGCGTCTGCTTTGCACCTGGAGGAGTCCTGTTTAGTGACGTTTTTGTGGTTCTACTCTTTTTTGTATGTTAAGCTTTTATATTTTTACAATTTATTATTTTGTTCACGTCTGAAAGTATGCTGTGGATAGTTTTTCTTACGTTACGGCATGCAGGTTCCGATCCGTGTTATATTACAGCTTTGACAAGCCTTCACCGCTTGGTGAAGTTGCGTTGCGTGTCTGGTCCACTCACGTCGCTGCAGCAGCTGATCAGTCCCACCTCTGTCTTTGTTTTTGTTGCTGACTTGTGTTTTCTCCCGCGTCCATTTTCACTCAAGAGGCACTTTTACCCACTTTCCACGAGAATTTCCAGTTTTCAGCGTTTGCAAACCTGTGTTTTTATTTGCTGATATACGTCCGTGGCTCTTCCGTATCTGTCTGGTATCAAATGCCTGGTTAGTGAGCCTCTTTCTTTATCTGTTGCGCATCAGCTGGCGTTCCGTGTTGTTGCAGGTGTCTCACAATCTGATCATGGGCCGGAGCACGTCACGAAGCACGTCTGAATGGTAAGCGGTACGGTACGATTTTAATTCCTGTATTGTGCCTATTTTTGTAGCTACGAATTTGTTTCGTATGGATGTGACAAAACGATCCTTGAATCAGACCACAAAATGGTTGTGACATTCTCAATGGATAAATCTTCCTTTATCTTAGCTGTCAATTGTGCACCCAATACAGCCGCCTTTAGTTCCAGACGAGGTAATGTTAACACATTTATAGGAGCTAAATGTGAATTGGCACATAGCAGTTGAATTGTTACTCGTTTATCCTTATGTAATGCTCGGATATATACGGCAGCTCCAAATGCTTTCTCCGATGCGTCAACAAAGGTGTGTATTTCTGACGATATCGGAATTTTTCCATGGAAAATATGACGTGGTACTTGTATGGTGTTTAATATTTTTAACTCCTCCCTGTACCTTTTCCATTCCTCCTGGAGATGAACTGGAAGCGCCTCTTTGTAGTCAAATCCTTCCTTTGTTAGATGTTGCATGAAGATCTTTGAATTCATTACCACCGGGGAGAAGAGTACAAGTGGATCGAAAATCTTAAAGATCTCCGATACGACATCTCTTCTAGATATTACATCCTTGGTGGCAATTTCTGTCCTTCCACAAAAATGGTCAGATTTAGGTATCCAAGTGATTCCCAGGGTTTTAATGCGGTAATCTTCATAAGCAGTATCTTCCAATTGTACGCTTGAAGTGATGTCTTCCGTTGGAATTCCTTGAAGCACATGAACGTTGTTCGTGCACCATTTTCTTCTTGCTGTCTCTGGAGGGCCTTTGGTATTGAATCTATTCCTGTTAAGCAATCATCCACATAAAAGACATTTTCCAGAGCAGCAGCTCCAAACGGGTCTTCCTTTCTTTCTCTTTGAGCGAGATATTGTAGACTTTTTGTGGCTAAATATGTAGCCGCTTTCGTTCCATAAGACACTGTTTTTTATACCCGTACTCAAAAAAGAGTTAAGGGGTATATTAGATTTGTGATAAAAGTGGATGTGTGTAACGCAGAGAAGGAAACGTTTCCGACCCCATAAAGTATATATATTCTTGATCAGTATCAATAGACGAATCGATATAGCCATGTCTGTCTGTCCGTCTGTCTGTCTGTCCGTCTTGTTGAGCGCCTAGATCTCAAAGACTATAAGAGCTAGGGCCACCAAATTAGATATCCAGACTCATGTGATATCACACTGCTACAAGTGTATTTCAAAATTTCGCCCCGCCCCCTTCCGCCCCCACAAAGGACGAAGGACAGTATCGTAGAGAATGCCTATATCTACCAGATTGCCAAATCTCAATCAGATCGGATCATAATTATAGCCAGAATGAAGAAATTAATTTTCTGTTGGCTCCCCAGCCCCCTCCTGCCAACTCATTCTCTTTCTCGCTCGTACACTCTGCCTCGTTCAGTGCGCGAGCAACCCCTAGCGGAGGAGATGTAGAATCTAAATGGTACATGTATAATCGGCATGTTAGATGTAGAATATACATAGTAGATGTAGATAACAAATGTAGCAAAAAAAATTTAACATGTAAAATTTTTTTTTTAATTCTAAAATTTTTTAAAATCATAAGCTCAAAAATGTATATACTGACTGAGTACGGGTATAAGTAGAGTCGCGTCCCCAGAAGTGACTCACACGTTCCTTCTCGTTTATTTTCCGGAGGTGCTGACACACCGTTATTTGTGGATACCGGGGTTAAACCATGGTTTGTTGGCTCTGTGTATATCAGTTTGAATATGGTTTCCGACCAGCGTGGATGCGCTGACACTCCGCTGTTTGTGACGAGCCATGGCTAGAGCTATGGTTTGCCTTATTAAGGAAAGCCAATTTATTGCATGCAAGAAATTGGAGCAACACAGCAATAAGCTTTTATTTTTTTTTCTGCTCAACTGCGACAGTTTGTCTCAATTAGACTTAACCTGGCTTCAAGCTCTGCCACCATCATGGAGTTGCAATTTTTTTCGACATAACTTTTGTTACGGTTAAAGGATATCACTAACCCAGTTCGAGAGGAAGCGCTGTCTTTATTCTTTGTTCGGTCAAACTCTTAATGTCATAATATAATATAATTATCACTTAAATGACCCTCGCGTTGTAGTACCTTACGCTCATTCTTACTCTTTTTGTTACGCTCTTGCATTAAATTTGTAATTGAACTCACCACATTAGAAGCCCTCTTATGCTCAGTGCTCATGCACTGAATAAATAGTTATTGGCTAGTACTCAACTAAACCGCCTCGACTTTCGGATTATTCTTGGATTACAGCGAATTTCTTCGCATCGAGTATAATTAGCTCACTGAAGATTGACATACCCCCATCCTTGAAAAACTATATTGAGGAAAACGCTCCTCGATCAAACATTTTGGCGCCCAACGTGGGGCTCGTGTTTTAATTCTGTGAACAATTACTCGCATTTATGTATATTCCATCAAACAGTTTCGTCGGTACATAATTTGCAAGTGCAACAACTACACTTTCGTTTCGTCTCGCAGTTGCCATCGAAATTGCTGAAAATCATTTCAGAAGCTAACTGATCGATCGCGGGTTCATTAACCTCTCGCTGTGTTCTCGCCATTCTCGCTTAATTCTATCATTCGCTTATCACCCACATCGCATTTAACGGCGCTTGCACTCTCGTTTCGTTTGCATTGCTGCTACTTGCTTTGGTCCATCGGTCAACGCAGTTATCACTTTCGCTTTCGTTGCCGTCGTTGGAATTTTTGTTCACTCTCTGGACTGGAATTGCGCTCAAACCTGTTTTTTGCCGCCGTCGCTCGCTTCTAAATTTGTTCCCTTGCTGCTGCTGCTGATTTGGTGCCTTCTTCCTGTTGTTGCGTGCATTGCATTTGGAATCTCTAGTTCTGTGTGCGTGTAATTTACACTACACAACAAAATGACGACTCTCGAAGATTTGAAACGCCAACGGAGCAATATAATCAAATCTGTGGTGGAAGGCAAATCGGAAAACCCAATTTGTAATGATGAGCTTCGCTATCGCTTGAGCATCTTGGAAACGTATTTCAAGAAAATTCTAAACGTTCAATCTGACATCGAGGATCTTAGTCCGAACGATGAAGGACGTGCGGACTTGGAAGATACCTACATAGCAATAAAGCTATCCATAAAGAAAAAACTAGAAGGAGATCTGAACGCTAGCACATTTACGCCGGATCACCACCCGCCGCCAGTGCGGTCATCGTTGCCGAGGTTGTCGCTGCCTACGTTTGACGGCATTTATGCGAATTATAAGAATTTCATAAATCAACTTATTGTGCGTGAGTCTGGACTGTCTAACATAGAAAGGTTTAAACCTG